AAAAAAAAAAAAAAATAGCATTAACTACTATAATAATAATAATAATAATAATAATAATAATAATAATAATAATATCTTGAAATAATAGAAATGTTTATACTTATGTAATTTATATTTAATTTGAATTATTATAAGTTGGTAATAGCATTAGCTACTATATAATATAATAGTAGAAAAAATACATGATTACACTTCATATGGTGTATTAGTGTGAAAGGCAAAATATGAATGACAAATTTTGTAACTTCTTTTGGAGGAAAAATAAATGGGGTTTTATTAATTAGGTTTTTAAATACATGACTACACTTAATTAGGTTTTATGAATATTATTATTATTATTATTATTATTATTATTGTTATTATTTTAATTCTGTATTTCATGAAATATTTTTCTTTAGAAACAATTAGTGAATAGTTTTAATAGTATAGGAAAAAAAAACTTCAAAATCTTATAAACAATTGTCGTTGTAATAAGAATAGTAATAATAATAATAACCACAATAATGATAATAATAATAATGATAATAATAATAATAATAATAATAATAATAATAATAATAATAATAATAATAATAATAATAATAATAATAATAATAATAATAATAATAAAGTTTTCAAGTAAATTATTTGACCATGATCCCTCCAAATTATAAAAATTGCATTACCTACAAATTTTTTTTAATCAATATAGTGATCCATATGTACTCAAATAATTTATATCTATATTATTTTATTTTTACTAATGCTTAAATCTTGAAAATATGGTATGTCCATTATCTAAAATTTTAATATTAAATTCACATATCTTGAAAATGTGATATGTTTATTATCTATAATTTTAATATTAATTCACATATATTACTTATAATATTTTATGTACATCTGTGCATGTGCACATGGACAAGATGATCGACAAGAAGATGACTAGTGTGGTGAATGGCGAAATATATTTGTTATTACAAAGTAGAGAAGTAATTGTTTTTTCCCTCTATTATTTCCAATATAGGTTGCCCTAGTTGTTTGTTTTTTTTTTTTGGGGAACAAAATTCTAAATTATTTTCAAAAAAATTAGACAATGCTAATTTACATTTTAAAGACCTACTATTTAATATAATAAGTAGCAAGTATCAACACCTTGTTTCTATGCTAGAGGTGGAGACCAGTTAGCTGAACTTGATCTCCTAATACTTAAGCTTGGGCTCGAGTTCTTTTGACTCGATTCGTTAACAACACGAACTCGAGTGCGGCTCGTTTATTAATATTAGTTGAGCTCAAATTTTAATAGGACGAACTCAAATCATATTATATTAAACTATATAATATTTTTATTTTTAAGGTAGATTTGTTAATTGTATGAAACTTGCGTTTGACTCATCTGCAAGTCAGAACCGTGTCGAAATGTACTCAGGTAACAACTCATTTCGTTTAGGGCGTTACTATTTACCGCCCCCTTGGACGATTTTGCCCTTCTCATTCGCACAATGTCTAGCAGTTCAGAGGTATAAAAATATTAAATTTTTTTATCCATGACATTAATTTTGTCAAAAAAATTGAACAAACAAACAAATAGAAAAGGAACGGGATTAACTACTTTCGACTTGTAAAAAATTTATGGGTGGACGTAAATATTTAACAATGTTGTTTCAAGTTCCTTAAATAATACTATAACTATGATGTTGAAATATAATCTGTTTTATGAATGACGTAAATATGCTGTTTAAAGTTCCCTAAAATAATTTTTTTAAAAATTATGTTGTTTAAAGTTCCTTAAATATTAATATATTTAAAGTATACACATGCTATAATATATTAAAGTCAAAACAATGTTGGAAGGCTTTTGAATTATCTAATTAAAATTATCTAAATTAATTAATTTAAATGTTTAATCCCATTAAATCTTCAATCCATGAAATATTTTTACTAATCCCCTGAGCATGTTGTTTTGTTATTATAATCAACTTATACACTATTTTACTAATAAATTATTTAATATCTATGTACAAGGAGGTCTTTAATAATATATAATTATTTTTTGCCGGATACTATTTTATTGTATAATTTTCCTGCGTACTATAAAATATTTATTGAATATTGCATCTTATAATATAATATTCCCCAAATAAATATATCCCGTGTCTCGGCACCGATCCCGTACTATATATATCCTGTACATTTTTTATTCATTTATATAATTATAAGGCTGGATAAATAACCTTAAAATTTTGCAACCCGTGCATCGCACGGGCTCTTTACTAGTTTTTAATAAGTGGCTTTCTTCTATTGTCAATTTCACATTAAACCATATTTATCTATATACCTTAACACTTAATCAACATTTTATCTAAGATTGAGATTGAACATTATTATATTTTTAATAAGTGGCTTTCTTCTATTTCCACTTTCAAATATAATAACACTAAACAAAATTTATCTATATACCTTGACTCATAATCCACATTTTATCTAAGATTGAGCTTGACCATTGTTATATTTTTTAATAAGTGGCTTTCTTCTATTGTCAATTTCACATTAAACCATATTTATCTATACACCTTAACTCTTAAAAAAACATTTTATCTAAGATTGAGCTTGAACACTATTATATTTTTTTAATAAGTGGCTTTCTTCTATGGTCAATTTCACATTAAACAATATTTATCTATATACCTTAACTCCTAATCAAAA